TTTTGTCTGTCTTTCTTTGGGATGCACATAAATTGTAGAGCCCGCCCCCTTTCAGAACCACCTCCGTTCCAAGAAGAGTGATGTAGAAAGACTTTATTTCAATTCTATTTTTTCTTTAGTAGTACTTGGTTTTATTTTAATTCGAATAGGTTTGTTTTGGATATTTGGATTTCCATTGTGTGTTTGATAGACAATGTTTCGACTCGTTAGGCTTAAATTTGCGTTAGGCTTAAATTTGCTCATTCCATTGTGCGTTTGATAGACAATGTTTTAGTTTCGATTGCGTTAGGCTTAAATTTGCTCATTTCGTGTTTAGCGAATCAGTTTGCTTTGTATGAGGTGACTGATTATATGTCTATTTCTAGGGATCGCGACCGGATCTGTCATAATTGTCTGCATGTTGTCTTGTATGTTGTTCCGTAGTGTGTCTGTCATACCAAAACTTTGGATTTCCGTGGTGCGTCTGTCATGATTTTTGGTAAAGATTCGAGGGGATTTGGAACAAATTTGGCATAGATTTGGGGATCCTTGCTTAACATGTTCCAAAATATGTGCCAATGCGGTTTTGGAATGAGCTATTTGACACGGCACGTGCTATTATATATTATGAATCATGTCAAACACGGTCTATTTGTATCAATTCCGCGCCAATATAACTGTTTATTGTAATGATGTGTGTTGGTCCAAAATAGAACGCTCGTAGGCTTTCAGGAAAGCTATGATAGATTGATAGACACTCAAGTAAGTATCAGGAAAATAATACGAATAAGTAAAGTTGCAAAGGGAATTTGGTAGCTATAAATAGCATATAGAATTCGTTTCCTTTAATTTGAATTACAACATGCATTTTATAGACGTATACAAATCGTAACTGTTATTACTAATAATGACTAATTAATTACAACATTAATACAGAAATAAATACATAATTAAACAACGTATTAATTGCTTGACCGTTACTTTTCCTAGCAGGCAGGTCGGTCGGACCGGTAAGCTCCCTGCTGGGGTATAGGCAGGCTCTTGGTTGTGAACTTGGATCCACGAGTCCAAGTTTGGGGTTAGGGCCGATTAGGCTATGGGCCTAGTCCCATAAGTCCATCAATGTGAATTAAACGTGTGACTTCTTTAAATATACGAGTAATTAAACATTGATCTTATAAACCCAATTATTGATTTGAAGAATGATGATACACGGCTAAACGCGATTGGGGTCCATTTTATTAGAAGGGACAGCACTAAATTGTTATCTAGCCATCAATTAATTACGAAAGTACGATGTGATTGATTTAAATTTACTACGTATTATATAATTTGGCCTCATCGTGTATCCGAGTGCAATTTCCAGTCTCCATTCCTTCAAACTCAGCCACCTCTATCACTATCCTTTGTTTTTTTTTGAGAAATCTCTATCACTGTCCTATATCCAAAACTAATGAAACATGCGAACTCGTACATCTGTTTCAATATATCTTTACTATTTGTGACAGCCACATACTCCGTGTATATCTAAAAAATGAAATTATAGATGGATTTGATGTTTCTAAAAGATGAACGAATTGAATAGATAATACGGAGTATACTTCATGATTACAAGTGTGGTAAAAAAGAATGAATTTAAACCACGGTTTTTTTTGTTGGAATAAAACTTCTCATTTTCTTCTTCAATCTCAATCATATGTTTTATTCTCACTTTTTTAAACACCGATCCAAAACAAATTGAAAAGAATTTTATGAAACGGAGAAAACATATCAACACATTGTAATTTTTAAAATGTGTCAAATCTCCTCGTGTCGTAATTAATCATGCCCTTAGTATTTTGAAGTTTCAAATTTAACCATCTAGAAATAACATGTTTTAGTTGTATGATGAAACATATTAAACATGCATGTAAACTTCTCATTTTGTCAAGGTGTTTAAACCATACAAAAATGCTAAAATTTTATTTTATTTGACAATTGTTTTTATTGGGAGCGTTGTGTGCATGTTAATTAATACGTACATAGAGGAATTGGCACATTTTTTATCATGAAAAATAAACACATACAGAGTAATTTAAGAGATTTTGACTTAATAAACCCTGCAATTATATACGGAGTAATAAATTTAATGAAATTGAAAAAATGAAATAATGATGGATGGACATGCATATAGTATTCAAATTTCATACCGATCATTTATACATGTGAAAACTTAGCCAAATTTTATTCTTTTGATATTAGCTTCAAACGGATTTCCATTCATGATCTCTAATAATCAATTTTTTTTTATGATTCTTACCATTTCAATATTATTATGCAATTAATTTTAAAATAATCTCAATTGTTTTTATGTCTCTTAATCATCATCTTCAAATAATTTGCTTTTTCGTTGTCATGCATTAATTTCTATTATAAATACTTTTCAAATAATCTTAAAATGATCTGGATTCATATTTTGATCCCAGATCATTGTAGATTTGTAGTAAACAATCCAATTAAATAATCTATGTCATTCAATGATAATTCTTTAAAAAAACTGCCATGTCACCAATTTAATCCCATAATAATCCTACCAATGAGAGCATCCACATTCATGCTTCTAACATAATCTGGTTTTTTGTGATTCTTACCTTTTAATATTTGCCATATAATTGTTTTAGAAATAATCTCATCCCCTTAAAATTACCTTGAACCATCATCCCGAAATAATATGATCTTTTGTGGGTCCTTTATTAACTAATTAACTCTAATTTCATAAATAATCTCAAAATAATCCTATTTCAAATTTTGATCTCAAATTATTCTATCAATTAATCATGTCCAATAATATCTCTCACTCAACCATGCTCCCTGAAATAATCTGTCATGTCACTAGAATAATCACCTAATAATCTCATGAATGGTGATGCCCTGAGGATGCCCTTAATCGTTAGGAGAATAATTCTAAACGATATTTTCCGCTCCAAAAGGAACATTAATTAATTAGTGAATCAACTGATCTTCAGGGCCGATCCTATTCATTTATGGGCCTATGAGCGATTCACTATCATGGGCTCATATCCAAAATAAACCATAAATCATAATTATTTAAAATATGAATTATAATAAAGCTATCTATCAAAGGTCGAAAAATAAAAGTGAAAATTACTTTATTATTATTTAAACTAGTCTTTTACCCGTGCGTTGCACGGGATATCAAATTAAAAATTGTCTAATAATGTTTTCGAAATACTCAAATACAATTGAGTGAGTGTATTGGCTGAAATTTATGATGTTCTAAGTGAAATTGTTGTATTAGCTGATTCTGTTGATTTATGAAAAAAATATTTAATGTCTATTTTATTAATAAAATAAAGAAAAAATTATATAACCAATACTTCAGCCAATACAACCAATACTTCTCTTATTATTACGCAATTCAGCGCGCTTAATCAAAAGTTACATTTTTGGTTAAAAAGTTGGATAATAAGTCTGATAAACCGAAAAACATAGTCATCAAACGGGCTCATATAGACGAAATGGGGCTTAAACAATGTCAATTTTTATATTTCGTATTTGATATCTTGGCTCACATAGTTAGATATATATAAATGTAGAATATAAGAATCTACTTCAAATATTGCATTCAATACGGATACATTTAGCTATATTAATTAAATATAACTATATTAAAAAAGTCCCGCTTCGCAAAAAATTAAGCCAATTTAATTTATTTAATATAGTACTCCGTATAGAATAATAATTAACTTAGACAATGGTTCAATTAAGATACATATAAAAATGACACAAATGGTAAATTTGGATAATTATATATTAGAATGCACAAGGGCCCATTTGCTCATATATATTTTTATCTTATCTGTCAACCATCTTTTTGACTAAACACTAAACTTTAAGTTTCGTGTAATTATTTAATAATCAAAATAATGTAAAGTTAAGGTAATTTTTCTTGTAGAATAGACTGAGAGCCCATTTGATAACACTAAAATTGGTTGAATTAATTGATACTATTGAAATGTATGGAATTTGGGTTAAAAGTGGTTGGATTAGTTGATTATGTTTATTTATGAAAAAGTTATATTGAAAATATATTTTATTAATTTTATTAATAAAATAAAGATTTTTTTTATAAAAAATAGTTAAAATGATAATCTATAGTAACTTAAGCCAATTCAGCCGAAAAAGTAACTTCAATCTTACTCATTTTGATTATTACATAGTTCAGTGCATGAAATCAATAGTGACGTGCTTGATAAAAAAAAGACTAATAAGGCAAATGAGGGGAACAACTGAGTCACCAATAGGGGTGGGCAAAAAACCCGAACAGACATGATACCGAACCGTAAAATGAGGTTTGAAACAGATCTCAAAAGTTTTATTCCGAACCGGATTAGACCGATTTCAAACCATGTCATGACCGGTTCTCATAAAATGAGAACCGGTACCAGACCGGACCCGATCGAAGTTGCTTTAAACGCACATGTATACCATTGTACATGTGTGTTTGTGTTTTGTGATTTATGTTTTGTACATAAATTAAGTAAACGTAAATGTACATCTCAAATTAATGTTTTGTGATATATGTTTAGTACTACTATAATTTATTTCAAATTAATGTATTGTGTTTATTTTTAGAGTTTGACTAAACTTTAATTTTCCCTTACACAAATGAAAAAGAGACATTGATTGGTATAAGTACGACACGGTACAGTCACGTTTTAAAAGGGAGCCGTATCGAGCATGTTTAAGTCTAAGACCGAATCGGACCATTTCAATAGTCATGGTACAGGCTCGGCAAAATATTGGACCGTCCTGAACTGTGTCCACCCCTAGTCACCAAACAGACTATTTTAACTTTTTGTCTAACTTTAGCATTATTTTTTTTCATAAATATACTCCTATTATTTGATGCCACAAAAAGATCTTAGGAATAAACGAACAAAGTATAAACGTAGTGCATAACTCCCCGTCTCAAAATGCAGTTTATGTATGCATATAATTACTACAGGAGCAAGTCAATTGAATTTAGGAAGGACTACACAAAGCACATAGTAAAGCACATGATGTTTTCAAATATTTTTGCCAGAAACGAAATAAACAATAATTCTGCTGTTGCTTCGTTTGGGCTTGCTGCTGGAGCGCATGTCATTTGTGGTGCACTTTTTGTAGCAAGTCGTTTTGCTGTGGGTTTGACATGATGGAATGTCAGTTATGTCATGTAAAAACCAATCTAGTGAGGGGCTCAGGGCTGGGCAAAATGTTCAAAAAGTGAATTACCAGAACGTAAATCCAAGATCACTAAAACATCTCCTGCATATTTCAAATCAACTAAAACGAAAGGTGCAGCTAAGTATATCTGCACCAATGTCACACACATCCATACCTAGTGGATGTGTAAAGAGGAAGGATGGCTAACTCTCATTGGACATGTACTTAAAAATCAACACATAATAACCCATAACTAATACTCTATTTTCATTAGCTTTGAAGCGATGGCTGTTTTTTAGAACGAAATAGAAGACAAAAAATCCACAACTGATCTGCCATCCCATTAGAATATCATAAGTCGTAACTCATGCCTTAGTTTTAACTACCTTTAACTTGTAATGTGTTGTAATGATATCATAGGCAAAGATCAAGAAATGATTAAAAACAGGAAGTACTTTTCACTTCTTATTAAATTAGTCTTGAATTGTAATCGAATTAAAGAGAAGAACAGTTATAAAAAGAGCCTAAATGAGGAAAAGGGGAATCCAGTTTGGAAGGGGAACCCACAATGGTTAGGGTACCCAAGGCATTGTCATCCATAAATATCATGCAGGGAATGGCTAAATAAGGGAAGTATTCCATTTTAACATCAAAACTCAGTTCAGGACGATACTCAGTCCAAATGTTCAACAGTAACTCAGAATGTCAAGCTCCACATGTTGGTGACACAGGGAATCAAAATTTTTCAGGAATTTAGTAACTTTGGATAAAAAAAGGCATTGGCTTAGCAACCTGCCAACCTCCCTAACTTGTGAGGAAGGGGTATCTAATAATGTCAAAGCCACACATATAAACATACAATGATTGACAAAGGATATGATTAGGAGTGACAACCAATAATGCAATCTGCGAATAACTACTTTCAAGCATGACGAGTTCAATTACCTCAGTGTCAATTTACAGGGAGTAAACTTCTAAACACCACAATTGAGAAATTACTATTGTGTGCACCCTAAGCAAATTGAGTTGCTCCTTAGTAAATTACTACAAACTTACAAAGTATCACTGCCAGCAAAAAATAATCAAACGAAAAGTATAAGTAGATGATTAAAGACTGACCCACCTTCTTTGTTAGCAACAATAACGTAGACACCGATTCTAGGCAAACTGTTGTAGCTGTATTTTCCCCTATCCTAAATCTCTGACCAAATTTTCAACATTAACTCAGAATGTCAAGTTCCACATGTTTGTGATAGGGAATCAAAATTTCAAGAAATTAGTAACTTTGGAGAAAAAAGGGAAGAATCTTAACAAATCACCAACTTTCCCCACTCTAAGATAAAGTAAGGCCTTATCATCCAATTGCAAATCAACATTGTTCAAGAGAACCTTGTTCAGAATCATTGAGTAGAGGGTGTAATGGCGGAAGTATTTTGATAAATATCACGCAGTACTTTCAAATGATTAGGAGACTTGTTGTGGTTCACATGTAGGAGGATGATTTGAAAGAACCAAAACCTTCTGAAACATTAGGAAACAAAGAGGTTTGTATGAGGAGGATGATTTGAAAGATCGAGTAAATTCAGAAACATTAAACGATACGGAGTGTAATTAAGTTGAGGAGGAAACGCAGAAGCAGGGGATGAGGAAGCCATAACTAATTGCAAAGGAATTTACACAAATACCCCAAGAGTTAGGCGGGAAGAGACTTAGTTGGATTAATTCAGTATAGATAGATTACATGTTTGGGTAAAAAGAACAATACAAGTATCACATGAAAAGAAAAAAAACACTTACAAACGTTTCTCACGGAGCAATGTGAAGCAAATCATTAATAATCGCTTCAAATCAACCTTTTCCAATACTAAGATCACAATAATGAGAGAATATAAAATTGCACAATAGCCACAAACATCAATTGCACATAACAAAAATAAGCTTTCTTTTAGTTACAACTGAATGAATAAATTTAAAGAAATATTACTACATATTGAATTCATAATATAAGTTGAGAATATATTTATGGTTTATTAATCGTTGAGAGTCTAAAGTTTGAAACCTCGAAAGAATAAAGATTTTCAAAGAGACAAAAAGTTTAGCCACCAAGAAGACTCTCGCAACAAGACTGTCGATTTGACGTCCTCTAAAATTGTTATTAAGAACTCAAGTATTGTTTAGTGATTCCTTTGTTTGCAATTGGAATTTGGAAACAATTGAGATGAGATTTGAGAGGCACAGGGTGGACAATAATTATATAAATTTTTTATTTTATAATTACAAGGAATAAAAAGTCTTAAAGGCTAAAGAGATGTGAAGAATGGAGATGTTTGTCTTTTATCAATTGAACAACAATTGTGTTGCTTTTAAAAACAACAATCAGTTCTACTTAAAATTAAATGTGTATATATATATATATATTTTAAACTTAACTTCACTTAAGACTTTTTACTTATGTTTTAAATTTTCAAAACTATCAACACAAATTAAACACTAGATCTAATTAATTGAACTTAAAAATTAAAAATAAAAAATAAAAAGAAATCTACTCACACTATATATAAAGAGAAATTTTGGGCATATTCCCCCAGGACCGCTCCTCCTGATCTTTAGAATATAAAAGATCAATGTCACTTTTGGTGAACTTGATTTATCCAAACAATAATCTCTCCATATAGAGCGTGGTTTGAAGTAAAATTGGGGTTGCAACTTGCAAAGGACGAATGATTGCACTTATTTTAATGCACAATACACTTGTCATCAAATGGTGCACTCTAAAAATGGCGATTTTTTTACTTAATTACGAATATAACATCACATTTTCATATGAAGTGACTTTTTGATTGAAATCATCCATATACATAAGGTGCGGATCTAGTGGCAAGTCTGTATTCGACTAAAAAGTACTCTCTCTGTCCCTCTAAGTTTGTCCCGTTTTACCTTTTGCGTCCGTCCCATTAAGTTTGTCTCATACCATATTTGGTAATATTTGGGTGGTTACAATTCATTTTTACTTTATTCACACTTTATCAATTCAATACAAACCACGCAATTCCATTTTTTCTTAAATGTTGTGCCACACCCTCTTGTCCCAAACATAGTGGGACAGAGGTAGTACATAATAACGACAATGTAAGGGTGAATATTTTATAATAATTATTGTTCCTAGCTAATGTGTTATTAAGAATGTTTTCATTTAGACTTTTGCAGTTTAAGATCAGGCCAAATCAGTATTAAATATATCAAATCAGATCCAACAAAGACAATAGTAGATCAAATATATACACATCTGACCTTCAAAAGACTACCCTAGACATAAACAAACCAAATTAGACCAGACATAAATAGATAATACCAGATCACTTAAGTTTTCAATCAAGTGAAAACCAAATTAGACCAGACATAAATAGATAATACCACATCACTTAAGTTTTCAATCAAGTGAAAATGTCCAATGTGAAATATGCTACTACGTACTACGTATTTTACTCTACATTGACATATATACATATTATATATTTTAAAGTAGAAAACAAATTTAAAGTAATTTCATCTTAGTTTAATAATGAAGTTTTACAAAATCAATAATAATAAATCTAATGATAATATTAAAAATAATAATAGTCTTATGGTGTTTTATCTTATCTTATTTTATACAAACTACACGGTGAATGGCAACTTTGTAATTATTATTCCCCACCCAGGCCCCCGTGATTTATTGAAATTCCATAACTTAATACTACCTCCGTCCCATATTGGTTGTCATCTTTCAATTTGACACGATTATTGATAAAGTGGTTAAAAAGTAAAAGTTGTGGTTGAGATTTGAGTAGAATAAAGTGAAATGATAAGAACCACATATTTTTGCCAAAAAAGAAACAAGACATTCATTTTGGGAGAACCCAATAAGGAAAGTAGGACAACCAAAATGGGACGAAGGGAGTACTATGAAAACGTTGATCTTACCAAATATATTCTCACAATAACTAGTTATGGAATATTCCTTTTACAGAATATCATGAACTAAGTAGTACTTAGTAGTATGTACTACACTCACCAATTCACCATGCAAGAACTGCCCCTATTTGAATTAAATTTGCAATAGAAGCATAAGCAAAGTAGCAGATGGACACAGAAAAAAGGGGTTAAGAATGCCCGGCCGCCAGCGATATCAATTGCAGAGAGCTGCTAATTAAAGCCTTGCCACGTGTCGCCAGTCATGTCTTCATCCCCAGTGATGGCCGATTAGTCCCTTTATGCATGACTGCATGTATAGAGACAATAAGTAATATAAGGTTCATCGCAGTTATGTGTAGGACATTAATTTAGTTTTAAAACTCTATAGTTAGATGTAGACAAACAAATAGCGTAAATGTAAGAATAAAAAAGTTATAGGAATCTAGCTATATATAAAGTGCTATATGTTGAAGAACTAAAACTGTTTAAGTCTGCCTGTGAGTGTATATCTGTCTATATATAATTTTTGTGCAAAGTTTTTCTGTCTTCGAGAAATAACCACAAAGTATTTCAGGACATTTGAAGTTTGGTATGATTCCTTTGTGACTGTACAGGCACATGTGTGTACATGCAAAAGCTGTTTATGCAGAGAAATGTAGTGTTTGGAATGTAGGCAGCTGCCCAGGCACGAAAAGACTCCACAAATTACCCTGATTGGTGAGGAGTTTTTGGCTTGGTATGTTTGTCACGTGCTCAAACTTGTCAATACAAATTAGGGGTGAGCAAATAACCGATTCAACCGACCTAAACGAAAACCGATGACCGAACCGACCGAAAAATCGGTTTTCGGTCGGTTTTCGGTTATCATAAATTAAAAATAACCGGTTATTCGGTTATTCGGTTTTTATTCGGTTTTATTTGTCGGTTATCGGTCGGTCACCGATAATCGTCCGATTTTTTTATTTTTATTTTATTTTTTGTAAATATTTAAGTAAATATACTCCATAATAAATTAATAACTCCATAGTAACGATAAAAAAGAACTCCATAGTAATGAAATATGAAGTCCAGCCCACGCCCATTGAACTCCACCTACAAAAATCATTAGTGGAACGCTCTGGAGCCCGATCTTCAATTATCTACTTTCCCCATCTCTTTAACTTATATTCTTATAATCAATTCATGGAACACCCTGTTCAAAATTTCAAACCTCCACGTACACCTTCATTAGTTTTGGAGGAATCAACCTTGGTAGAGAAAAATCAACCGGAATCCTTATTTAATCGTTGCGAAATTACACACTTTTTTTCATTTAATATTTTCTAGATCCTTTATTATCTTACTCAACATGGCAGATCTTTTGATTTTTAATTTTTTCTTTAGTGTGATTTAAAATATTCAGAAACTTTTAGATGGGTTTGCTCATTTGGGGTGTAAAGATTAATAAGATATTAGCTTATTTATTTGCTAACATATCCTTTTTTATTTTGTTTTCATATTGAAAAAGACAATTGCGGAACAATGAAGTAGTTTCAACGTGCAATTTTTTAGTTTTTGTAAATGTATTGTGCTAAGAACAGTTATTTACATTTAAATATGTTGAATCCATTTTGGTATTTATTATTTTATTTATTTATGTGTTATCTACAACTTTTATAATTTTGAAAAATACATGTTTTGATCGGTTATGTTCGGTTATTCGGTTACCGACCGAAACCGAATGACATTTTTTGGTCGGTTTTTGTAATGTTGTCGGTCGGTTTTCTGTCAGTTATGATAGGAAAAAACATTGGTCGGTTATTCGGTTATCGGTTGGTTATTTGACCGACCGACCGAATGCTCACCCCTAATACAAATATAGGAGGAATTATTTAGATCTTAAGGAATATTTGCAACTGCTTCTGGTTAAAAAAAAGGACTGTTGGAGTGTTTTGGAAAAAGTGATAGTAAAAGTTGATAATGTTTGAGAAATAAGTGATTTTGAAAAGTAAAAGTTGGTAGTATTTGGTAAAATAAGTGTTTTTTGTGTAATAATAAAGGGAAAATCACTTTTAACACGCAAGCCGAGAAAAAGTAAAAATTGGTAGTGTTTGGTAATTAAGTGCTTTTTAAGCCAAAAGCTGAGCAACGCTTTTTTTTAAGCTATTGCAAACACTCCCTTAATATAGTACTTAATTACTTCACAATTTTTCGACGTGGGAATTCAACACCCCTTCTTACGACCAAACATATCATATCATCATTCACTTTTTATTAATTCATCATTATCATTTTTTTAAACGTGTCATCATTTTTCATAGAGGGTCACACCATGTATCGATTGGGGTGTCATCTTTTGATTTCATCCTAAAAAGTCAATCTGATAAAAGGAATAATCTAGATCCTAATATAGCAAATAATTCCTTAACAACTTTCCGGTGTCAGAATTCAACATTTTGTATGCAAATTGTTGTTTTTGTCCCCGTTTTTTTTTAATTCGAGTCCTTAATTAACTTGGTCCAGTTCAGTGTAATTGCTCAGTAAATTAAGTTGCTCATGAGTCTAAGTCCTGATAATGAAATAATCATATCTGGGCATCTCTTAAAGTTTCATAAGAACATGGGCATCCTTTTGTTTTATCTCCTCAATGATCATGTTAGCATTGAGAAGTTTGGGGTGAATGAACCATTTTACAAACGACAGGATTAGAGAATCTACCAAACTGACTAGGTTACATTAGGAGTGTTTGCATTTGCTCATTCTCTTGAAGATCATATAAAAACTGATTACTAGTAAAAATTCTTTGAAGATCATACAAAAATTACATACTAGTAAAAGTCGATAGTGTTTGATAAAATGATACTTTTTGTAATAGAAATTGTAAAAAACAGGTAAAACACTACCTTAGTCTTTTGTAATTTAAAGTCAGAAAATCGCTTTTTACAATGTAAAACACAGCTACTATATTACACAATTGGAACTTGGAAGAATGTAAGGAAAAAGGACTTCCCCTTGTATTATATTTTATGCTTATAACATTCCATATCTTGCCCAAAGATCATGCGTTACTATTTTTACACAAAATTAAGATACGATTGCTGAATAAAACAATTAATTATCAATGGTATTTAATACTCTGTATTAAGGTGGACTTGTGGTATTTAATAAGACAAAAATTACATGCTCTAAAAATCATCACCTAAACCCACCGTAAGGATGTTTTTACTTGGACTGTAATTTGCTGGTCTGGTCTGGTCTGGTCTGAACTGGTCTGGTCTCTTTGTATTTTTATAACTATCCAAGTCTGGTCTGATCTGGTCTGGGACAAATTACAGTCCAAGTAAAAACATCCTAAGTCCTATTTACAGCTTGGGTAAAAAGTTGAATAAAATCAAGAATCTCAGTAGAGAAGCGTGTGGACTCAAAAAAGTGCAGAGAAATGAACAAACCCGATTGGGTTGTCCAATAATATATACCAAAACTAACAGAGCAGAGAAAGGACGACAGTAGCCCGCAGGCAAAAGTAAAGCACCTGAAAAGCATAGTTTTTCCAGTTATACACTTCTTCTTTTAATGCCATAAAAACATTCTTCCATCTTCTGTCTCACAAACCAACTCCATCTGGTTCTGCAAATAAAAAATAAAAATAAATAAATAAATGGGTTGCTGTTTCACAAAAGCTCATAAGAGTCAACTCCCATTATTTCCATCATCCGATTCTTCTACGAAATATATGTCAATACCCATTATAGATGATGATGCAGAAGAAGAAAAGGATGAACAAGAAGCAGAGGCGGTGCCTGCTGTGGGGCCCGTTCTAGGAAAACCATACGTAAACATCGCAACGCTGTATGAGCTTGAGAGAGAGCTGGGGAGAGGGCAGTTTGGGACAACATATCTATGTACAGAAAAGACGACAGGATTGAAATACGCATGCAAATCCATTTTAACAGGCAAGCTGGTGAAGAGTGAAAAGGAAGTAGCAGACATGAGGATGGAGGTCAGGATGCTTGAGCATTTGAGCGGGCAGCCCAACATTGTAGAGTTCAAGGGAGCGTACGAGGACAGGAACCACCTGTATTTGGTGATGGAGCTTTGTTCTGGCGGGGAGCTCTTTGATCGGATCACCGCCAAGGGGAGTTACTCCGAGAAAGAAGCAGCTCGGATTGGGAGACAAATCGTGAATGTGGTTCATGCTTGCCACTTCATGGGAGTTATCCACAGGGACCTTAAACCAGAGAATTTCTTGCTTGTCACCAAAGATGATCACTCCCCCTTAAAGGCCACAGACTTCGGACTTTCTATTTTCATAGAGGAAGGTAATTGATTTCAAATCTATTAGCTCAAAAATCCCATCATGGTTTATCTCATGATACTACATTTGTAAAACATTGCTTCACAATATAGCATCATATACTCTTAAATATTTGTCTCACGCCGGCAAGCTCTAAAACAATAAAACAGACTTTAAACTACTCCTATCACATTAACAGAATGAAACTCAGGTCTTAACATATCTGAGTGCTAAATAATAACAGGTCAAGAATGACACTGTTTGTTCTCAAATACACACAACAGTATTTATGTATATATACACCTGAACGACATACGTTTTTCAGGGCGAGTGTTGAGGGATATTGTCGGAAGTGCTTACTATATTGCTCCCGAGGTGTTGATGCGGAACTATGGAAAAGAAATAGATGTATGGAGTGCTGGAGTTATTTTATATATCCTTTTGAGTGGATTTCCTCCCTTTTATGCTGGTAAGTAAGCAAGTACAAGGCTAATAATATTTCTTATAATTAGTTCTATGATGACATTCTAGCATCTTTGCTAACTAGATTAGTCAAACTTGGTATTGGTAACCCAGAAACGGAGAATGGCATTTTTAAAGCAATCTTGAAGGCTCGGCTTGATCTTGAAAGCAATCCCTGGCCATCAATATCTCCAAGTGCAAAGGATCTTATCAGGAAAATGTTGACCGTGGACCCCAAAAAACGAATAACTGCAGCTGCCGCCCTTGGTAAGTGTGTGTAGTAGGGACTGATTTCCCGCCCTTGAGGGATATAACTGCTGAATTGTCTAATAAGGAAGCGTAAGGTAAAATCAATTATACATTTGAAAGGGTAACTATTCTGATTATTTTACTGATAAGCAGAATAAGATCAATGCTATTAAAAGTGGGCTTTAGGTCTAGTTCCCTTTATTATTTAGTGTTATATGTACGGGTGAAATGCATAAATGGTACCTTAACTATTGGTATTGTTGCGTTTTAGTACTTTAACTCTTAAATGAATCAAATTAGTACCATAACTATACATAAGTGTTTTAGTTGAGAATATTATTAAAATTTGAGGTAAAATATCCCACATGGCGATCAAAATTTCATGTGTAGAATTCACTCTTCAGTGATGACATGACAAAAGTAAGATGAAATGGAATTTACGCATATAATTTCGGCCGCCATATGATTTTTTGGCCACAAATTTGAATAACATTGTGAATTGAACATTTATTATGTATAGTCATGTATTGATTTGATTCGTTTAAAAGTTAAGGTACCAAAACGCAACAATATCAATAGTTATGGTACCATTTATACATTTCACCCTACACGTACTACTAATTAGGTCATACCAAACCCAAAATATTTACACTAAAATCAGACCAAACAAAAAATTTAGATCACACAAGATAGTGTATTTTAGACAATACCATATAGGTTCACATAACATCAGACCAAAATACTCAAGCCAGTTGAACCTGATAAAACTTGGTATCTAGTTTTAAATGAAATATGTGTGTTAAATGAGGATGACATATGTGTGTTAAATGAAATAGAACACCCATGGCTCAAGGAAGATGGTGACGCATCAGACACACCTATCAATAGTGTTGTTCTGATCAGAATGAAGCAATTTAGAGCAATGAACAAGATGAAGCAACTTGCTCTAAAGGTACCACCAATATAATACTGCACTATGATAATATTATTTTTAATATCGTCAAAGAAGGCATACTTTCAAGAAGTAAAAGAACAAAACTATTACCTCTAGGCTTTTGAAATATAAAAAAAATGACTAGTTTTTCTTTTTTCCCAAAATATGACTAACCTTTGTTTAGTTAATTCAAAATTTCTCAACCTGTAACTCTATTCAACCTCTGCCCCACCTCACCTCTGCCCAATGTAGCCCAAAATCAACACCGGTAATCTACGTTAAAAACCACAGCCGGAAACTGCTGCCGAAAAGGTCAATGGAATTTTTTACAGATTTTTTTTCAAGACGGTGGCATTGACATCTGCAATAACTGTTACATAATAAACTACAGTAACATTAAAAACTGGCTGTAAGATCATGATTTTCTAAAACTGTTACCTAGTTAATACTCCCTCCGTCCCATTTTGATTGTCCCACTTTCCTTTTTGGGTTGTCCCAAAATGAATGTCTTGTTTCCTTTTTTGGCAAGAAATATGTGGTTCTTATCATTTCACTTTATTCTACTCAAATCTCAACCACAACTTTTACTTTTCAACCACTTTATTAATAATCGTGCCAAATTGAAAGTGGACAACCAATATGGGACGGAAGTAGTAACATTTTTGTCTATATGTAATAGTAGTCACTTTTTTTGAAATTGAACTTCAGTTTAGCCCTATTTATGGAAAAAACCCTTTTCAAGAACAGTAAATCACCTCATTTTCATCATTTATATTTGTTCTCTTATAACTGATAAATATTTATCTGAAATGGTGATTGCTTGAAGGTCATTGCAGAAACCATGCCAGAAGAAGAAATTAAGGGGCTGAAAGAGATGTTCAAGAACATAGACACGGATGGAAGTGGCAACATCACGCTTGATGAACTTAAAACTGGGCTGGCTAAGCTGGGCTCTAAGCTCTCAGAAGATGAAATAAAACAGCTGATGGATGCTGTAAGAACTTTCAGTAATCAACTCCTTATTTTGTGCTTCATAGATCTATAACACTGTCAAGTGTTTGACCATTCATCACATCTTGGGAAAATTCTTACATGGACCTGGTTTAATGTGGACAGTAGGCATTGAATCATTATATCACATGCATTGCATGTTGTACTCTCTAAAAGAGAACAAGCAATTGAAGAGTACAGTCTACATGTACTATGTATGAAGATATAGTTATTCGGGGTTGAGTTAAACCTAACCTTATACTTAACACACACAATGCACAAATCAGTTATAGCTAGAGTTCATTTAGAAGTCACTTGCGTTACACTCAGGCTGATATTGACAAGAGCGGGACAATAGACTACATTGAATTCATCACAGTCGCAATGCATCGGCATAGGCTTGAGAACGAAAGCAACTTGTTGATGGCTTTTAATCATTTTGATAAGGACAGAAACGGGTACACTGTTTCGCTCCCCCCATGTTTTCATAAAATTTCATGAGCTCCTATCTTTCTATAACTAACTGCAACATTTGTGTCCACCAGATACATTACCCGAGAAGAGCTGAGGCAAGCTATGAAAGACTACGGAATGGGGGATGAAGCTACGATTAGTGAGATCCTTAATGACGTGGATACAGATAACGTAAGAAAACGTGTACCCAAACCTTTTGCTCTGAATACTGTATTTGTATCTACTGAAAGTTTATTATGTAGGATGAAAAGATCAACTATGATGAGTTCAAACAGATGATGAGAAGGGGTACTGTAGAGAATAAAGGCAAACAGTGATAGGAGTAATATTAACGATGCTGTTTACATCATTTTAAGTGATAAAAGCTGGTTGCTTAATATTTTCAATTTATTGTATATGTTACATTGGGTTTTGATGGATGTGCAAACACTGTAACCACCTTAAGCCAATAACTCTTCCACCACAGAGTGTAATCAATGTAGAAATAATTTGTACCAAATTTGGTTTAACAATGTACAAGTGTTGAGGTCCATTTTCCAATAATCTTCATACTAGTTATCCACCTGTGCGTTACACAAGAAGTTAATTATGAATACTAGAAATGTAAATTAATTTTCTGGTTTTATGAATACGCATGTAGGATAAAATTATAAGTCAACACACAAATTAAAGTACAATTTATCACATATTAAGAGCTTCAAGCCAGATAGACTTGTACCCTGAAAATTGCATTATACAATTGCCCATGCGTAAAAATAGAAAGATGCAAGCTAAGTAAACAACCATTGTTTTCATTTTCCAACGATTCCCCTTACTTTTGTAGTTTCTTTTCATTGTTATTGTTGTCCATCAAGAATATTTTCCTATGCATAAATGTGAAAGGGAGTATGACATCTGTCGGGCACTCGGGCTAATACTAACCCTGGGAATAATAAAGTTTCACCTACATTAGTTTCATATATTATTTGAGTCTCATTCATATCCAAGTTTTATTTGAGCCTCACTATATGAATCCCAATTTTTTCAAATAAAAGTTAGGTACCATTACACATAAATTTGGACAGGTCCTGTTTTTTTGTCTTATTACTTCATTGTATCGGAATGCTGATAGAGATGTTGATATATGTCTGTATGTGTATGCAATACAATTATGTTTTACTTTTTTGTTACAGTGGAAGTATATGAGATAAATTAGGATGTTTGATAATATGAATATATAGATCATGTACTTGAGTCTTGAGGTCATGAGGTGAATCGTGATTTTTAATTTCTTATTTTTTTAAGTGAGAATGAACATATGATTCTTAATGGCTATTATGGTAAAGGATTCTTATTCTTATCTATACATAATAATAACGACTCTTATTGATTTGTTATAAATTATAAATGCACGTTTTCTTATAGTGTGCATAGTAATAATGGAAGATATATCTACATCATCAGTGGCGGAACTAGGGGGGTGAGCCGGTGCCGCCGCCCCCGTTCTCCGGCGTTCGTAGTGCATATATATGTATATATGTATGTGTAGCCCCTGCTCAGAGAAAAGTATTATACAAACTTACTCGTCTTAGAACTAACAGTACGATCAGTAAAGATGGTTAGCGCGTAGTATTCGTATTCGGCAGACGGGAGTTCAAATCCTCCTAGCTGCTTTTTTTTTTTCCTATCATCCCAGCTTTCAATAAAGATTCTTCTCTTGAGCTTCCTTATCGGCTGCTTTAGTTTTTCCTATCATTTACATTTTTTCTTTATCACAGATTTCTATAACTTTCCATTTTAAATATTTTATTTTTCAAAAACAAAATGTTTTTAACTTTTTAAAATATTGACATGTTATTTACACTTTTTGTGTAATGCAATAAAGCCAAAAATGATCTTTAATAATTTCTTCCGACTTTAAATATTGACCTATATCATTTGGCATGCATTTTATTATATTTACATAAATAAAACAAATATCCTCCATTGACAAAAACAAAGCTATTGTTGTAATAAAAAAATTATGCAATATTTAGGTATACTTGTATTCAAACCTTGAATATTACAATTACATGATAAGCGTATTAAATTAAGTACAAAAATGAGTAAATGTCTATACTTTAGTTCTTGGTTTAAAAAAGCGCGCCTCAGGCGCGCAAAGGCGCTAGGCGCCCTAATGCGTTCACTTTATCGCATCTAAAAACCCCAGGCGGCGTAGGTTCCAAGAGGCGCGACTTATGCGGCGCTTTTTGACGCTTTTTACGCGTCTGAGAGGCGCGCGCTTCTCACGCCTCGTAGAATTCTCTTTTGGCGATTAAGTCTCTTCTAGTTTTCTGTTCTTCTTCCTTCTGCGGTAGCTGTGTTTCTTGCTGTCTCGCGCTCAAGACTTGCAAGTCCTATTTCTTCCGCTGCTTTCTCGCATCGCAAAACTCGCAGGTAAGTTTTTTTCTTCTTGTTCTCTTATGCGTGTATTAGTTTATTAATTAAGTACTCCGTATGTTTTATTTTATATTTTTTTTTGCTGCTTATTATTTTATATTTTATTACCTTGAAATTGTACAGTTACTACCTCTATCGGTCTGTTTTAAATCAGGCTGAGTAGGGTACCTAAATATTTGTTTTTAATTGTCAAATATATAAGACATTTTTTATTATTAATTTTTTTTATATAATACCATAGTTTATTATTTACGTTTTGAAGTTTTAAAATTGAGTTTTGTGTCTTGACTTTTAGCAATGATGCCGTTTAATATATATTTCTTGCTTTTGTCTTAATAATACGAATATTTGGTTTCTCTTATGATGTTTATTAAGATTGTTTAATAGTTTGAATTATTTTGGTGATGTTATCACTTTTTGAGAAGAGTGCTTCATGTAAAAGTAGTATAAATATATTTTACCAAAGATATGACTTTAAGATCCGTGAGGCGCGCGCCTCGCCGCCTAGCGCCTCGCGCCTCGGGTAAATCAATGAAAACGCCTCGCGCCGCCTCGCGCCTTTTAAAACTAAGCTTTAGTTGTTTTTTTGTAAACCTGATAGACAAACCACTTTAGTCGGTAGGGTAAATGTTGTGGAACATTTAAGTTGATATGTATATGTATGCGGGCACTTAGGTGTGTGTGTATATATATGTCCAAATAAAGAGTCACTTCATGAAAAAATGAAATAATTCTTCTACATCGATCGAGTTTGAGATCAAATGATACTAAATATATCAAGCAACAATAACCTAGATAAAAGTGGTGTAAACAAATTAATAGTGCAAATTAAATATATACTATTAATGAGAACAATTTTTTAAGTGCGATGTATATTTTGCCAGCTGAGCTAGCCTGCCCCCCCCCCCTAAAAAAAGTTTCCGGTTCCACCACTGTACATCATTACATGGAATGGTAGAAAACATGGATTAAACTGGTAGATAAACAAGATGATACAATATTTATATATAGTTAGGATTCCTAGTCACAACTACGTATCTTTTAATAGCATATATATGATAAGTATATAGTTAGGATTCCTAACTATCATGGAATATTTTTTGTGAACTTTTGAACCCCAACAGATTTGGGCAATGTCGTGTGATGTTTTTAACGACGTTCCTTATGAAATGTTATAATCATGCACAAAGAATCCTAATTTGACAATAGACATGTTGATGAAGTTCTTTTTCAGTTGGTCTTCAAACGCACATGCATACAAACATTACCTTATTAATGTCAACATTCTATGAAGTAGCAAAAATCATAAACATTATATTCCAAGAAAATATTCTATGTATAAAATAATAAAATTAGTATATTCTATGTATATGAAATTCTATGTATATTCTATGTATTCTAGAAAATATTATATTAGTATATGAATAAAATAATAATCAAGTAGCAAAAATCATAAACATTCTATGTTTCCGAGAAAATCAATCATCTAACTTGTATGCGATTACTCGGCAAGAAACTTGGAAAAACAGAACGGGCCAAGTGAGAGTGCTAACCGGTACGGCCACCTCCAGAGTTGTGAGTACTCGGTGAGAATATACAAATTCTTAGGAGTTCATACATGGATTTCCCCATTATTTATCTCCGGTTCTTCTCAGTTTGTTGTTTTTTCCTTAGTAATAAACGTATTGAATAGGGATTTTATAAGGATATACTGGTAACTGGTTACCTGTAAGGAAAACTCTCGGCCGTCTCTTCTCAGCTTCTTTGGATTAAGACACTGCTTCGTATCAACACTATACCATTACTTCATGGAAATTTAATGTAGAAACCAGATGTGTTGAAGCCTTGCAAGTCAAGCATTTGTTAACTTTAGTACTGCCATAATTAGCTTAGATGATGTTCTTCTCCAGTGGAGACCCTAAGAATCTGACCCATGTGACCCAAAATCAAAGTAAGTTACGTTCTTGTGAGTCTTGTTGTATTCTAAAACAATTTAAACATTTCAGATCATGTAATTTGGGTTTGGACCTTCATTGTCATCTATGTTTAAGAAATAAATAATCTAATGTGTGCTCCAAACACATTGGTGGTTTTATGAATGTAATATAAATTAATTAACATTTCCAGTATGGTTCTTTCGAATAAGTTAAATATGTTTCTTAGTTAGACTCAGTGATATAATTTTCAACTTTTTAAACAAGTAGATTAAAAGAATAGGAATATCATGTTTTATGACTTTATTTTCCATTTTTACCTTATCATTAAATGGTGAAAGATACATAAGGACGTCCTCAAACTCACATCTAGTTTGGAGCAGTGGAGCACTTGATAGTTGATACTAGGTATCCTTGTCCCAAGAAGGACACAGTTTGTTAAAGTCTCCCAAACGTGGGAAAAAGAATCTTACACGTCTCCAAGATCAAGAAGGTTTCTTACTTCATCAGGAATGTGTTGTGTCCACTCAAACAATTACCCTGCAAAAACTTGTCACATAAGAAGAATGATGAGTGTCTTAGTTGAACAAATACATTAAGCAGAATAATCCTTTATACATAACTAAGGTCCACTAACTAGTGATTACTGACCATTAGAATTAGGCAAAACTGGAAGAAAACTTTCAAAGATCCTTCTATTGAAAATAAAATGGATGGTTGACTCTAAAGGAGACTTACAAGGACTTCAGCATTGTAGAGTTTCCCAACTGAGAAGGTAATCCCAATAAAGTTGTGTTACGAACACATATCTGCGACCTCGTCCAGGGACTGAACACTTCAGGGGATGATAGAAATCTGCTGATGGACCAGAATTTATGAAGTATTGGAGCGAGAGAATAAATTAAAATTTAAGATGGAATTACTTCAGTACCCCCGACCTTGTCGGGTGACATGCACAAATTAATTATTTCAAAAAGTATATTATAATTAATACTCTGGTCCCTTATACCAAGAGCCCCAATTTCTAAAAGAAATCATGTAACTTGGGAAGCTAACTAAAACTGAATAAGGAAATAATAATCATTATATGAATAGGAAACTAATATTAAGACTAATAAAGCTGCCTCTCACGTTAACTCAATCAGCGACTTTGCTGGGCCGGGTGGTCTAATTGGGCCACAGTTGGGTTGGCCAAATCCGGCCCATCTGATCGTCTAGTTGCTTCTTGCAATGGCACTGATAGGTACAACCCAGGAAGGTCTCTGTAGCATGTTGCCATGAAGTTATCTGCTAATACAAATGTTGTAACTTCGTTAGTAGATTATCAACAGCTGTAAGCATTTATGCAAAACAGAAATAATGATTGATACATGTATTGTAGATGTTCTAGTTTCCCAATATGTGGTAATATAGGCCAACTCCAATTTGTGATTAGATTCCTAGATTTTAAAATAACAATTAACACTAGCAGTTTAAAATTGTAAATTCTGTGTCCAATTAAAATGAACTGAAAATGCCCATAAATTTAAAGATTGTTGGTCTGTTATCTTCAGTTGACGGTAAGAGAAATGTATATTGTACCAAATGGGAAAAGAACACAGGGCCAATAAGTTACAATGTTAAAAGTGAAGTATCAACAATCGTATAGTCAGTTAGAATTTTATGTATCAAATATATGAAAATTAATCGAGTGAAGAATATAATATAACTACGTAATATGGAGTAGAAACTTTGCTTTTTCAAGGATAAATGTATCACCCATAAAATACCATGGAATAAGGAATGTTTTATGTTAAAACTCATGCAACCAGAGTTTGTATCCATTCATGTATTGTTTAACAAACTTGAGCAATTTATCCCACAAATCAGGCAATGCCAAAGAGCTAATATTGTGACATTATTATGCATAGAAAAGGAGAGACGAATCCTATAGAAAGCATTAATTTGGGTGCTTTTCTAGTTTTCTGTACCACTATCTTCATTGGGAGGGTAACTTCCGCATGTTTTTTCTTTTATGTGCTTTTCTTAATTTGTTTCTTGTTTAATAGAGGTACTAGACATATTAATGGAAATAGTATACAAACATACAAATACATATATATACCTACATGCATATGTATATTCATTGATTAGGTAGTGATTTGGATCAGGTATTTTATATGGCATGGTCCCATCACATTTATTATTTAATCTTGAAATTTAGGAATTTAAGCAACAATGGCGTCCAATATTGAATTTCTTCTCATCTAAGGCTATCATGGCCAACAAACCTCATCAATCAGCTATTCTAACTGGATCAGGATCATTAGATCTCCACTGGCGAAGAAAATCATCTGAACTAAATATTGCACTTCAAAAGTTAAGAAGCGCTAGACCTGCAACATGGGGCATTCCAAATGAACTTCTTATAGAGATTACATTTGTAATAATATCATGATAGAGTTCGAATACATTACCCAATAGTGAGTTGAAAGTAAATAGTAGTCTCGGGCTATTTAGTTCATGATCTAGGAATAATAATATCAATGAAGCCTGGTAGAGATGAGAACAATAGGCTAGCTGGTCAAGATCATGTCACCAATAATCATTACAGGAACACGTGCCATCACAGAAGTGGTGAAAATGATTAACATCGCGAATAACTATTTTTCGATGTGTTATTAATGACGACAACTTCATGAATTGATGGCAATCTCCACATATCCGAAGATTTTTGAAGATTATTATGGTATGGTTTGTAGCGTGACTTATGAGTGCAAAAGCTAGAGCCAGCCTTTCACTATGATGTAGGAGGTTTACTCTTTTTTCCTGATCTTGTACATTATGAAGTGAATAATCCTTGTTTGGAATATAGCCTGCTGAATTAAGTTGTAAACAGAGCTCATCCAGTTTTGCATGTATATCGCTTATTCTTGGATGTGAGGCATCCTGAGATAGAAAGACATGGATTTGAGTGTCAACTTCAACCCAGCTACAACCAGGTTCCTTTTTAACCCCCTGATCAGACATAAATGCTCTCATCTTTGCCACATCCTTCCACCTCCCCTTTGCGGCATATATATTGGACAGCAATATGTAACTCGAATCCACTTTAGGTTCATGTTCAAATAAGAAATTCGCTGCCATTTCTCCCAATTCAACATTTCCATGAATCGTACAAGCACCAAGAACAGTCTCCCAGATTAATGCATCTGGAGTAAGCTCCATGTGCTGAATGAACTTTTCCACCTCATCAAATCTTCCGGCTCGACCAAGGATATCAACCATACAAGCATAATGCTCGGGAGAACGAATGATTCCGTAAGTGTTGGTTATCGACTCAAAGTGTTTTCTCCCATCAGCAACCAAGCCCAAGTGGCTACATGCAGAAAGAACGCCAATGAAAGTAGTTGCATCAGGCAAAATACCTTCATTCAACATCCTCCTGAAAGCTTGTAGAGCTTTTTTGCCCATCCCATGCTGAGAGTATGTGCATATAATTGTGTTCCACAACACAGTATCATATGACTCAATGCCCTCAAACAGAGTCTCGGCATCAGCAATGGCCCCACATTTACCATACATATCAGCTAATGCACTGGCCACAAACAAATCACTGAAATGCCCAGACTTAACTGCTAAGCAATGCAGCTGCCTTCCATTACTAAGGCTTGCTATACGTGAACAGCCACTCACACAGCTTGCAAGAGTAAATTCATTTGGCTTGACATCTTCCTTCAACATCTGACTTATGCATTCAAAGGCCTTTTCCCCTTGATCACTTTGTGCATAGCCTGAAGTCATCACCGTCCATGTGAATACATCTTTCTGAGCCAACCTAGTGAAAATAACTTCAACATCATTCAGGTACCCACATTTAGAATACATGTCAATCAGAGCAGTTCCTACATAGCAATCTCCGCTCAAGTTCTCCTTAATTACATGAGCATGTACTTGTTTCCCAAAACCAATGTCTGACAGGCTGGAACAAGACCTCAGAATGCTTATAAATGTGTACAGATTTGGCTTGAGTCCCTCAATAAGCATCTGACTGAAAATCTTCGGCCCCTCGTGTGATGTTTCATCAGCATGAAATCCCGATAAAAGCCCATTCCAAGTAATAACATCCCTTGAATTCATAGAGCAAAAAACTTTGTAGCCATCATTATTTAATCCAAAATTCATGTACATTGAGATAAGAGTGTTGCTCACCAAATTCTCAGAGTCAAGTCGAAATTTCAAAACACAAGCATGGATGCTTTTGCAAAAAAACAGATCACCTAAATCAGCAGATGCACTAATGACACTTGCAAGAGTAAACTGATTAGGTCTCACGCCAGAATGCATCATCATTTGAAAAACAGAGGCTGCTTCTTTTTTATATCCATGTTGATCAAGGCTACATATCATTGTACTCCACGAGACAACATCAGGACTTCTTATTCTCTTAAAAACTTTAAGAGAATCCTCAGGCAGTCGGCACTTGGAATACATATCTACTAGACTAGTGCTTATAAAGTCATCAAGTTCACTTCCAATCTTTATTGCCAATGAATGAACTACTTGGCCAGCTCCCAAGTTGCCCTCGTTAGCACAACTCTTTAGAACAGTGCTTAATGTGTAATTGCTTAACCTGAATTCTGACTCAGACAAACAACAAAACAATCTTAAGACCTCTTGCCCATCGCCTTCTTGTGCATACCCATTAAGCAAAGCATTCCAAGATACTAAATTTGGTTCTGGCATATGAAGGAATACTTTTTTCGCATCTTCTATCTCATGACATTTAGCATAGAAATCAATAAGCGCAGAACTACAATAAACATCTGAGGTGACAAGTTTTACTACATTAGCATGCAACTGTTTTCCAAACTCTAAATTCAAGCACATAGAACAACCCTTCAGAACTGTGGACAATGTAAACCCATTAGGGATTACACCTTCCCTCTGCATCTCACAAAATAATCTAACAATTTGAATATGATTACGTTCAGGTAGATATCCTGAGATTAGTGTTGTCCATGATACAACATCCTTCTCAGGCATCTGATCGAACACTTTGCGTGCAGAATTCAGATCTCCACATTTAGCATAAAAATTGATCAAGGAAACAAGCACATGTGCATCTAGGTCAATTAAATTTCTAACCAGCTCCCCATGAAGCACTTTTCCTTCTTTTAAGAACATCTTTTCCGCATAACCTCGGAACACTTCTGAATACCAGTGTAGCACTCTCATTCTACTTTCACTAACCTTTTTAATACCTTGAGTTCCTTGGTCCACATGAACCCCCAATGGCACAAGCACACTATTTCCCGAACACATTTTTCGGGGAGAACTCCTAAACCTGCTGGGGGCTTGCAATTTCAGAACTTTCAAATCTTTATATAGCAAACTCTTTCGGGTGGTTTCTGTTTCTGAAGCGTGAAGAGTAGTGTAGGAGCAAGCAGAACATTCAATGGATGAGAAATAATGCTTAGGCTCATAGAGGCATCTTATCAAACGCATTTGGGGTGTGGGTGAAAAGGCCTTGATGGACCGTCTTGAAATCCAGCAAGATTTAAACATCTGTACTGAAAAAAAATCACATTCCATCTGTGCCATTGAAAGCAAGGTCTTCAGAAATGAAAACTCAACACATATTAAAAAAATTGGATACGAAATGGATCTACAAGAAAATTTTCAAATAATAGCATACAAAAGTTCAGGATACTCAACAGTTATGTCGTAGTACAGGATATAATTGTGGACATCCTAGTTAACAAACACGGAGCAAAAAATGTACTCTGAGTACTGAAATCAGAACCCACAATACTATTAACTTTTAAGAGCTAAGCCAGGAAAAAAAAACGAAAAGTTGAAACGCCAAGTGATTTGAATATAGAAAATTGAAAAATCCTAATATGGTTATTATTTGAAATATACTAGTATGATTTTCTCTAAAAAAAAAGTGTCAACCTGTCATTTGTGCAAAAACAGAGAAGTTGAAACATTAAGCAATTTAGAAACAGATCATCATTATCATTCATCATTATCATTACCCCAAATCCCCAATGCCGCAAAGGCTCCAACCTACGGTGGGGTAAGGGGGGTCAGATGTATGCAGTCTTACCCCTGTGCTAAAGAACAAAGAGACTGTTTCCGGATGACCCATAGCAATTTAAAAACACATAAATAGAAAAAAAAACGACCATGAAATGCTCGAACTCTACTAGTTTGGCTTTCTTTTATGTTGAAAAAAATAGTGCCAACTGCCAATTGCCCATGCTCTCAATTAGCAACAACTATCTCCTTTATTCATGCATCCTCTTAACCAAATTCATGTGCTCTATGGCTTCTATCTTAAATGTTACTCCCTCCGTATTTTTTTGTTTGCAACAATAGGTGTTGGCACATTTTTTTAGATTGAAATAGTATGGGTAATGAATAGTGTAGAAAAAGTAGGAGAGATGGTGGAAGAGTATGAAAGAGAAGATAAAAAGTAGAAAAGCAAGGGTAATTGAGTATTTTTAAAGGAAAAACTTAGCAAAAAGGGAAAGTGTAGCAAATTTTTGAATACATCCAAAAAAGGAAACTGTAGCAAACAAAACAATACGGAGGGAGTATTTATGTTGATACTTAGACTCACATAACGAGAAAAGAGAAAAAATAAAAAACTTCCAAATATATAAAAATTCAAAGAACTAACCTGTTCATTGATGAAACTGACGAAGCGAAACTGACTGAATTGGGGTTTGAACCCTGTTGTAATGTTGTGTAGAATTTGAGTAAATATTTTGCTAATAATGCAGTCATGTCATACAGAACATTCTAGGATCAGAGCTATCAACCACAGCTATTGAGTTAATTGCGTTCTTCCAAAAACTATTTATGAAAAATGAATATTAGTATTGACTAAATGCAGTGAATGTTATGGATCAAAGCATTCATGAGATAATTTTAAGTATGACCAACAGAATAGTTTGGTGAATTGGTGGAAACAATTTTGTACTTCATACTCATATTAAACAAAAAAATCCATATATTTGATATAAAAAAAATAGTGTAATAAGAAAAGAACGGGGCTCAATATTTAAATTAATAAATAAATAAAAATTGAAGGAAAAAACTTAGTAAAGAACAATCTTAGCTTATTGATCATGCATGTTATTTAATTGTTATAGAAATTTTGAATTATCAACAAACTAAAATTCTTATTAAAGTTTACTAACAGAAGAACACAAAATGTAACAGAAAATACCTAATAAATACATACTGCTTATTAATATAGAAGGACTACTAACTGCCAAATCAAAAACCAATTTATCCAAAACCTTTCTACCAAAAAGAACTAAATTTTAATTGCAATTTCTCATATTCTTCAAGCAGTTAATGTTGATAGAATGCATTTCATGCAAGTTTAGGCCTCCTCAATACTAAATTCAGTACATTAAAGTTCAAGTTAAGCAAAGCGTTTCAAAAAATACAACTAAATCTTTGCGTATTAGGTGAAGGTCCTGAAGGAGGCCTCTCTTATGTCCAATAAAACTAAATACTAGCACAAAATAATAAATGAAATATTCGTAGTTCATATTATTGAAAGAATAAGACTAAAATTTTAGTGCATCCTCTTGTTACTCCTCTTGTTACTTATCTCTGTTATTTTGCAAGTTGTCTTAAATATATCTCTGTTACTTATCTCAAATTGAAGAGAAACATATCAAGTCAATTAAAGACCAATATTAAATACATAATCTTTTGGGAATAAGGCTTGGATGTTGTTGTTGTTTGAGGGATTATGTACATAAAAGGTGTAGAAAAGTAGCTAGATTATTGACATCACTGAGGCCCACATGGTTTAAATGTTTAATTGGTCGGCCACTCAAGCACACTAATGCATCATGAGTAAATCCTTCACTCACATCAACTTATACGTCTTGATACCATGAGTCTAAGTATGGTACATATTTTAGTCTTGCTTCTTTGTCTTCTACTCTTCTTACTTAGGGCTTTAGTCTTGTTCCATTCAAGAGTGATTATTTCCATTCTACAGAAATCACCCCCCTCCGTGTTTAATCAGTCCATCAAAGTCAAAGGAAAGCCTTTGAAAGTCATTGCTAACTTCTTTTTTCTTAAAACAATGAATACTTAGCTGACGTACTTCGTGGTATGGCTCCTATAACATACTTAAATTCGAAAACCAGTAAGGAAATGATTCCATAGACTTACATAGAAGGGCTTTCTAATATGAAAAATGCAAAATTGTTACATTAGAAGCAAACTTCCACTCTCGAAAAAAGATAGTGGTTACTGGTTAGACAGCTCGCCATGATATCAACAAGCAAATTTTCTAACATGAAGTGCAGTGCTCTATGTCTAGAAAAACAAAAAAAGCACTCAAGCCAATTGGTTGGAGGGAAATGATCTAAAAATTTCTAACAAGGTAATCACATATAATTGTAAGAAATGATGTTTTAATCCACAAACTAAACCAATAACAAACCATATAAAAGTATAGGTTTCTATCAGGGGACAAGTATTTAGGAAAAATGCAAACCTAATAGCAAAAATCACACTGTGTATCCCCCTAACTCAATAGAATAGTCAAAAGTAGAAGAATGGAAGAATAAAAATAAATGCCATTCATGCAAATGAATGAAAGGAATCGGAAGAAGGAAAGAAATTCAAAGGGAAGAATAGTAGCTTACCAGTGTGCGAAATGAGTGGCTACGGCAGCAGCTACTCAAAGAGGGATACTTAACGGCTAACGCTAGTCTAAATCAAGAATAGTTGCTAGGAACAGTATAGACTATAGAGCTGTAGAGGACTGTGGAAGTGTGGAACCGTGGAAGCATAGAGAGGATGAAAAAGGTGATAGGAACATAGACAGTTACACTAATAAGAATACTAGAATAGTATTAAAGAGTGTAATAGAGTATAAATGTAGATTCTGGACCATTTGGTTAATCTGGAATAATGGGCCTATTATTGTAGATAATAATAAGTGGGCTTGTACTATAAATAGAAGGGGAAGGGAAACAAATGAGGTAGGCAAGTATTCTGTTGGGAATGGGCTGGAGACTGGGCATCTCGAATCGTCCAAGGCTACTGTATTCCTTTTGTTCTGTTCATCCTCAATAATAAGAATTTCTGATCCTTTCCTCTTTATTTCCTATTGATTCTATACTGTTTTGAGCTAGCGTTTGCCACTGATCTATCAAAAGGCTACTAGCAGGGTGACAAAAAATGGATTTTTTATGGAAATGGGCCGATAAAGTTTGCTTATTTTCTAACTACCCTTTTATCATTTTGAAAAATTAGGAAATGGTGAAATTAAGTAAAAAAACATACCAACAAAATGGCAGCTGGAGCAGGGCCAGTAGTGAGAAAATGGGGACCTTGTGCAACAAAAAATGCACAAATAAAAACTGAGCCCTCCTTTCTAAGTTCCAACGCAAGCAATTTGTGTTAAAGTAGAAGTTACTAATGAACATAATAATAAAAATAAAAGTATCTTTTGAATAAACGAGCCAAGCTCTACCATATTTCTCTCCATTACGCAAATTTCGGGTGTAAACTATAGCTAAGAATCTTCAAGAGAATTTATCACTGGGCCTTAGACAAAAGTTAAATCTCTTTTAGGACCATTTTGCACCAAAATGCCTATCAACATTGAATTAAGAGCAACCCAATTTCTTGGATTATATAAGTCAAACAAAGTTGAATTATTTGACCTATCATCTAGAATATCTATTCCAACAGAACCGGCCATATGGGGGAGGCACCTAGGCATATGCCTAGGGCACCATTATAACTTGGGGCACCAATTTTTAAAAATTAAACTATTATTGTTATATAATGGGGTACTCGTATTTGGTAAAACAAGAATGGAAATAGAACAAAAGCAAAACTAATACAGAGTAAAAATTAGACGGATACTATCTGTCTGTTTCATGTGACCTATGCTCCAGTAGGTCATTATCAATAATTGAGAATTTAAAATTCAAGAAACTATAAAACTTAACTACTTAAGTAAAGGTTATTAGTAAAATCTTTTGTCTTCTATAAGTACAATTTTTGTAATAGCTAAGCCGTATGTTTCAGGGAGTATCACTGTCAAAAAACTTCGGTATATGCACAGAAATTTGGCTCGTAAACACGCCCAACGTAACTAAGTTTGGCACGGAAACGAAACTCGGTACTGTGACGGATTTGGCTCAGAAAAAGCCCAGCCAAAATGTGGATTTTAACATTTTGTGACAAATTCTGCGCCAATCCCGATAAATTATAAAAGAAGTTGGCCGGCGACGTATACCGTCCCAAAAACCGTCACAATTTACGTCGGAACATTTTCCGTGCCAAAATTGAAAACAAATTTATTTTGTTTTGGCTCGGAATTTTCGTAGCCAAAGTGTACTGAGCCAAATGTTGAGTCAAAAAATAGCCGTTGCTTATCCGAAAAGGAAAATCAAATTTATACATTATGAAATATTCAAAAAGTTGTAATTTAGTGATTATAATTTAGTACTAAGTACTAACATTACTGTTATTTTGTAAATAAATTTTCTTAAACATTACTTTGATAAAAATATTGTAAAAATATATCTTCATTCAGTAGTGCCACATGATAGATAAGTCTTCTAGCTAAGTTATTATGTCCTCCGTCCCATTTTACCCATTTTATATATCTTACTTTCCTTTTTAGGTTGTCCCAAAATAAATGTCACATTTCTCTTTTTGAAAAGAAATGTGGCTCACACCATTTCACTTTATTAAACTCAAATCTCAACCACAACTTTTACCTTTTCAACCACATTATTAATAATATGTCAAACTCAAATGAGACACATAAATGGGACAAATGTAGTAATTAATAGAAAAACGAGTGATTTACTGTGAATTTTAGTTAAGTACTCACGAATTTTACACTTCTGAAGGGAAGAAGAAAATATTTATATAAGTAGGCTTTCTATTTTATGTACTGCAAAGATAATTGTTAACAAAAAATATAGTTTGGTACTTAAAATAAACTAACCTATATATAATTTATTGAGAAATAAAACATTGCTAACTGATATGAAAATGTGATTTTAATTTTTGTCTAGAGCACTAAATCAGCTAAAGACAGCCCTGTATTCCAATGTCCTCATTATCAGCATTCTCAGCCTTGTCAATTGTCATTATCAACTGATTTTGAAGCCATATGAGTATCACCGTAATCTGGTATTTCAACATTATTTTCAACATCTACATCCTGTTGTTCATCCTCTTCAGCTCTCCAGTCTCTTTAATAACGAATTCATTAAGAGCTCCTTTTAAAGAAAAGATTAACTTTAAAGTGTTTTTTTCTTTTTAAGCTTCTCATACCCAGGAGATGGGTATTTCTTTGATGTTTACTACCATCTACCAATTATTGAAATCCTCCCCTAATCCTGTGCATGTTTACAAATTTTATGTTAACACTCAGTTTAGATTTTGGGTGAGACCATAAAAGACTACAATTATAAAGTATAAACCTAAAGTTACCTAATAAGTAATACTAGTAACATATTTTAATACTTGAACAATTTCTTAATTGTTAAATACAATTATTATCAATTAAATTACTTATTAACTTCAATAAATAAATAAGTAGCAGCAACTTAATTAGAAAATAGCAATTAAAGAGAGAAAATTCAGACTTACCGAGGCGCAGGCGACAGTGGCGCCGTGAGCCGCCGCTGAGGTCCGTGAGGCGTGAGTCCGTCGCTCACTGGGTCGGCCTTTGTCGCTTTTCGCTTCTCTTCCCGTCTTGCGTTCCAGCTTGATTTCTCTTCCTTGGACCTGGCCTTAAAACATAATGGGCCTGTGTGAGTGGGCCGGGTGTCCATGCTTTGAACCATTGTGCTAAAGGCTGCGAATTTTATCAATCCAAAACCTGAAAGATAGAAAAATTATGAATCTTGAACCTGCATCGATATAGGACTATAGGTCCCGAATGATTGGAAATATTCAGAACCTGAATCATTGAAACTATCAATGTAGAATCTAAGTTGTCATGATTTTTATTATTATTTTTATTTTAAAAATTTAAATATTTAGTTTTATTAAACTAATAAAGTTTTGTGAAGAAAAGTTTATCAAAAATTAGCAATCAATTTAATAAAAAATTAAATAAATCAAAATTTATAAAATTGTAGGTCCTAGATTGATTATTTTTAAATATTATTTTTAATTCATCTATCTTTTGGGTCCTGAATTGATATTATTCCTCTATCCTCTAGGGCCTCTACAGAAAAGCCGAGTAAGTGAGAGTATTATAAAAGCATGTGAAGTTGTGATATTTAGGTAAATTTCAAAAATTGCCATTTGAGACAAATTTGATATTTAATCTATTCCAGAGACAAAAAATCAGTATAAAATACTACCTCCGTTCCCTAAGTTTGGGACAAGAGAAGGTGGCACGGTTGTTAATAAAAGTGGGTTTATGTGGTTGATATTGAATTGATAAAGTAGGAATGATTTAGAGTCACACAAATTTTACCAAATAAGGTATAGGACAATCTTAGTGGGACGGACTGAAATGGTAAAATAGACAATCATAGCGGGACAGAGGGAGTAGATTATAGAAATTATAGAATCAATGAAAGTAAGTACTTTTTCTATCATATTTATCGCCTTTTAGCGATAACATGTGTTAACTTTGTCAATCACTATTTGGTCGCATCATTATTTGGATTTTGGGTCAACTACTCGACCAAAATTGTTTTTGTTACAGAGTTTGATAAGTAAAGTTGATGTGGTGTTACAAACTTAGAAGATTTCATTGAGTGAGTTTTGGAAGATATCACATTGATGACAATTATAGACCTATTTGAAATAATAATAGAAATTCATTTTGACCTCCATTTCGGATTGAAATAATAATAGAAATTCATTTTGACCTCCATTTCGGAATCATAATTAGATGGAATTGTTCTAAGGCTTGGACTCAGAAGCTACATAAAGTAAAGTGTTTCTCAATATGTACGTTCATTATGACTATTTTTTTTTTATACTCCAGGGGGGTCTGGGGGAGGGGGGCTGGGGGGAGCCTGGAGTAATCAGGGCTGAAACTCACTCCATTGAGTTTCACACCCTTGTGTGCCTAACGGGATTCGAACACGAGACCTCTCGCTAGGTACGTTCATTATGACTAAATTTTATGAATTTTTAAAGTTTAAAGATACATTTATATATTCATAGAGAAAATTTTAACAATTATAAGATGCATCTTTCGCAACGCACGAGTGAACATTCTAGTTTCCATTACAATTAGGGGTGGATCAGGTCCAACACTGTTTGAAACCGAACTAGGTCCAGTTTTACGATCCCAAATCAAGACTAAGTACCCGAACGAATAACCAAATGGCCCGGTCTCGGGTTTGAATTTTGGGGACCAGACCAAGCAGTCCCGACCCAACCATTTTTTTTGCCTTGAAAATGAAAAAGAAAATATAACCAAACCGGATCCAGCCCAAGACCGGAATTGAGACTGAACCTCCCAAATACCCAGAACGGGCTGAACCCGAATTTAACTGGGTCAGACCTTTGGACCCAAGCTTCCCTAACACTGCCAAGACCGGGACCAAGACCGTGTCCACCCCTACTTACAACATAGTCATTTTATTTAAAAGGCAGGATAAATGAAGGTCCATGTATTTCAATAGGTTAGAATTGAAGGCATTTTCTATTTCTATTTGTAGAGAGCTTTCTACAAATAGAAATGATAATAATGTGATCTTTCTATATAGATTAATAGAAATAGTATGTTCTCCCTACATGGCTACATAGGACTAAATTAAGTCTCAGAGTATCCACATTCATGCTACTAAAATAAACAGATGTTTTTGACACGTAGATTTTTTCAAAATAATCTCACACCTAAATTACATCATTCATAATCTCAAAATAATCAAATTAATGATCCTGCATTCACTAATTAATGATAGGATTGATAGCTTCACAATAATCTTGAGATAATATAGATTCATATTTCAAAATCCTGGATTATTTTATCAAATTATCTCACCAAATAATTTCCAACATCCAATCATGATCCTTAAAATAATCCTCTAATAATCCTATGGATAGAGATGCCCTCACAACAGATGTGAAACCATTAATGTCATAACCAATACGGAGTAATATTTTCTAAACACGCCAATTCATGTTTTGAAAACCACATTGTTTTGACTCTCATTTACGGAAATTTCTGTTTAATATACAAACCAATTTAGAAACAATAGGTTTAGAAAAATTAACGAGAGGACAAGTAATAAAAAAAGGTATGAGAGTTATAATACAGATGATCGCTTTGCATACACGTGGAACAACAAGGCTAATAACGCACATGAGGAATAAAACCAATACCCTGAAAAGGAAAAAAAGAAGTTGCAAAACTGCTGCACAGAAGAAGGGTTGTTGATTGCGTGTTTGTGTAGTGATGATCCCTCCATACTTAAGGCTCATGATCGTACATTCCAAGGAACGAAGCGGCAGAAACCAAAACTGAAGCTCCAGGAAGTTGTCTTTGAGATTATAAGCATTCTTAGTGCTTCAATCAGAGCTAGAGTCATAAAAGTCACTAGGACATGGTGTCATGATTTCAGATTCAAGTAGCTGAAGTACCCTATGCATAGTGGGTCGATCCTCTGGGTTTGAAGACACACATTGTATTGCAATTGAAAGCAGGGCGTCAAGGCTTTCTGCCTGCATGCCTTCACAGGATGGATCCACTATGTCCTGTGGTCTGTTCTCAGCGACCAGAAAATTTAACTGCAATATGCAAAAGTGACCTATTAAGCAAGGTGGTAAGTTGTATTTACGACCAAGAGTGTTCACTACATCTTATAACTGTGTTATGTGTAAGTCGGAATCTTCAGATATAAACATAAAAAACTGAAAAAAGTGCAGAGGGCATACCCAACCAACAATGTTAAGGCCCTTCTCAATGAATGATGCATCAGTTGGACGACTTCCACTTAATATCTCAAGTACCAGAACCCCAAAACTATACACATCTGTCTTTTCTGTGGCTCTACCACTTTGCATATATTCTGTCAAATAAAAAGAGACATGTAATGGTAGTCGAGAAAAAACCATGTTACTGCCTTCCAGATGAACAGAACCAAAAGATATATGCAGTGCATTCCAGATCCATATATTTGAAACCCAGGAAAGAAATTATATAATTCAAATGGAAAGTTAAGAGAAAGTAGATGGAAAGGTCGTTGCTTTCAAATATTTGGTGTGCTTTTACCTGAAACCAAAATCAATCAGATTCTATTTTTCCCCGTAGGGATATAATATTCTCTTCTTCTAAGAATAAAATGAAAATTCCAGTCTGACTACTACATTCTTCAGTCAGGGTGAATGTGAAATGGGGAAAATGGTTTCTTACCTTTAAAATTCTATCTATTCTAAGGGTCTGTTTGGATGCAGGGTTTGGAGGGAAAGAGTTTAGAGGGCTTAGTCTTTATCTTCATAAATAAATATGATGCTTCTAAATCTAAAAAACAAATAAAGAGTGATGCAAATGTTATCTCATCACCTATTATGTTATTCCTAACTGTTATTAAAATTTTCAAGTATGTGTGTTCTGAGATATAGACCCCCCCCCCCCGCAAAAAAAGAACACCTTCCTTCCAAAACCATCCACCCGAACTGGTCATAAAAGAAGTGCAATGACTGATACGAATATGAACGGTACCACCCTATATGCCAAGAATAATGTGCTTTCATATTTCCAACCTGGTGCTAGATACCCAAATGTGCCTGCTACAATTGTTGTTTTGTGAGACTCCTCATCTCCAAGTAATTTGGCCAATCCAAAGTCGGACACACAGGCAGCAAGGTTAACATCAAGTAAGATGTTGCTAGACTTGATGTCGCGGTGTATAATCCGAGGTGAACAATCATGATGCAAATATGCCAGCCCTTTTGCAGCTCCCGTTATTATCGTTACTCGAGCATCCCAGTCCAGTTGTTCAGATCTCTCTGCCAAGGAAACCAAACAATTCCTTTTTTACAACGTTTCACCCAAGAAATGGGAAATGGGTTTTTTCTAGCAAAAGTTGTACTTTGTAGAGGACATAACTAACTTGTAATGAGCCAATCCAGAAAAGAAAATTAGTGTGTTCTATCACATATTGAAAAATAAATCAGAAGTAAATAATGACAGATACTGGCAAAGATAACAGCATATCGTCATAAATCACTTTATTGTTAAGACTAAGAGCTATTTGGTATGAGTTATTTGGTTGACAATGCTAAACGAGACGAACTTTCTGAAAGGAATGTTTTTTGGTCAAATCCATTTTAGCGACTAATACGAAACACACTTACTCTAATAATCTAATTATCTGCATTATTTATCTAATAAGCAAAGTAATCCACTATTGGCTACCAAACGGGCTCTAAGGTATCAGGGATGTAACTGATGACTTTCTAAGAACATAAAATATATCTACACCATCATTATGTGACACACCAATCTGTTCTTACCTGATTTTACAGTAAAATAAAGTGTCAATTGTACAATTAAAATGTAGTAAAGGAGAGTGTGTCTTACCATGGAGAGCTTCATCTAGGCTGCCTCCAGGTAAGAAATCATATATTAACAACTTTGATGTTGGAGAATTGCAATACCCTCGCAGATTTACCAGATGTCTGTGTTTAATGCTTCCGAGAATTTCGAGTTCCCTTTCAAAAAATCTATCAAAGCCCTCATTCATTTTGATGATCCTTTTCAAGGCAAAGATGTTTCCATCATCC